GGGGGCGTGGGGGGCGGCGGAGGCCGTCCGCGCGGGTCCAGGCGGTCTGCCCTGCCCACGTCAGGGGTGTCGTCCCCCGTGGCCGGACCCCCGGGCTGCGGGCCCTTCCTCGGCCCACCTCGCCGACGCTCGCTCTGCGCCCGTGCCTGTCCCTCCCGTCCGCCCCCCTCCGTGAGGAGAGGGCCGGGGTGCGCGAAGATTTCGGCCCCCCCCCTGTGGTGGGATCGCCCCAACCCGCCCGCCTCATCGATGCCTCCCTCCTCCCTCGAGCCCTCCCTTTCTTTACTCGCGTCCCTTTCGCTCCACTCGCTCGTTGCGCATCCCCCTCCCGCCAACCCGCTGTATGTTCCTCCCTTTTCCTCCCTCTCCCTCCCGCTCCCTCTTTCTCCCCCCACCCGCCCGTCCACGTTTGACACACCGTCGCCTTGCGTTTGCTCCCGGTTCCGCGCCCTCCCGCCCGCTCACGTTTGTCCTCCTCCCCCCCCCCCCCCTCGCACCATGTCCTTTCGCCCCTCTTCTTGCCCTCCCTCTCTCTGCTCCCTTTTGTGCAGGGTTGTGCTTCGCCCTCCTCCCCCTTCACCATGTCTGCCGACACCCTAGCCCTCTCTGAGCTTCAGCTCCACTCCATCAACCTTGATGAGAGTACGTCATCCTCGTCCCCTCGCTGCTGGGGGGCTCCTCCATCGCTCGCCTGGCTGGCCGCCCGCCTTCCGCCCGCTTCTCACCCCTCCCTCCCTCCCTCCCCTCTGCCACAGAGTTCCAGAATGTTGTTGTCATCTACAACACCCCGGTCGTGACCCAGGAGAAGTATGACCGCCTGATGCAGATCATCACCCTGAAGGTCCTCAGCAACATCGACTACATCAAGGGCACCCTGGAGATGCCCAAGACCTATGTCGATGGCAGCACCGAGGAGTTCACCACCAAGGGCTTCTGCTTCGTGGCCTTCGACAACGCCGACAAGGCGGCCGACGCCGTGAAGAAGCTCGATGGCACCGCCTTCTCGGCCACCATCACCTTCTCGGCCATCCTCATGAGCGACGTGCCCAAGTACGCCAACCTGCCGGACGAGTTTGTTCCGCCCGAGATCTACCCCCTGATCCCGAACGTGCGTCCGTTGCTGGCATCGCTGCCACCATGTATTTTTCTTTGTCTCTCTCTCTCTCTCTCCCCCCCCCTCCCCCCTCTGCCTGCCAGGGAGCGAGCTGCCATCCTTCTGTTTCCCCTTTTGTTGTTTCCCCCTTCCTCCCTTGGCTTACCTCTTCCTTCCGCCACTGTCCCCTTGTCGCTTGCTCCCCTCCTCTCGCCCCGGTCTCTGCCATGTGTGTGCCCGCCCGCAGGAGGAGAAGCGCAGCTGGCTGCTCGACTCCCGCCACCGCGACCAGTACGCCGTGCACTTCGACGAGATCAACTCCATCCGCGTCTGCTGGGCCGGCGAGGAGCCGGAGCAGTGCGCCTTCCGTAACGTACGTCCCGTGCCTGCGCCCCGCCCCGCCCCGCACCCCCCCCCTGCTCTCGGCCCCACCTCCGTCCCCATCGACTGACCCTGTCCCCCTCCCCCTCCTCCGGCCCCTCTTTCCTCGCCATAGAACTGGGTCGACAGTGAGTTCAAGTGGTCCTCCAAGGGTACCTACCTTGGCACCGGTCACTCTCAGGGTGTGGCCCTGTGGTGTGGCAGCAACTGGACTCGTTTCCGCTACGCCCACCCGAAGATTTATGGCTTCGAGTTCTCGCCCAACGACAACTACCTGGTCACCTATTCCTTCGAGTCGATCATCATCTGGGAGTGCTCCACCGGCGAGGCCCTGCGCACCTTCACCCCCTCGGCCACCGGGTCGACCAATGTCCTGCGCTTCTCGCACGATGACCGCTACGTTGCCCGGGCCACCAGCGCCGGCCTGCAGATCTACGAGATCGCCAACAACGAGATCACCCTCCTCAACAAGAAGATCTACACGGTCGACCGCCTGGCCGACTTTGCCTGGTCGCCCACCGATAACATGCTGGCCTACTGGGTGCCGGAGTCCGGCAACAGCCCGGCCTGCGTGAGCCTGCTGAATGTCCCCCGGCTGACTGTGGCCCGTACCAAGAGCCTGTTCAATGTGTCGCACTGTGTGCTGGTTTGGCACCCGGATGGTGACTTCCTGGCCGTGCGCATCGACCGTTCCGGCAAGGTTGCCCTCAAGATCGCCGCCAACATCGAGGTCTTCTTCATTCGCGAGCGTCAGATCCCGGTCGAGTCGCTGGAGATCCCGGACAATGTGGTCAACTTCGCCTGGGAGCCCAAGGGGTCGCGCTTTGTCCTGGTCCGCGGTGTGGCCACCTACACCATCGACATTTACAATGTCGATGCCAAGGCTCGGACCTCCATTCAGAAGCTCAAGTCCCTGGAGCGCAAGTCCCACCGGTCCATCTCCTGGTCCCCGCGCGGGCAGTTTGTGGTGTTCGGCTCGCTGCGCATCATGCCGACCGAGAGTGCCCCGGGCACTTTCGAGATTTGGAACACCCACGATCTGGAGCTGGTGCACAACTCCTCCCACGACCAGGCCTCGCACCTTCTGTGGGACCCCAGCGGCCGGTACTTCGCTTCGGTGGTGTCCATCCGCGATGGCAGCAACTCCGAGAACGGCTTCCGCATCTATGACTTCAAGGGCAAGATCCTGCACTCCGAGAAGCACTCCATGGTTCACCGGTTTGCTTGGCGCCCGCGCCCGGCCAGCCTGCTGAACGAGGAGCAGCGCGCCGGTGTCATGAAGAACATGCGCAAGTTCGCCCAGGAGTTCCGCCGCCAGGACGAGGCCCGCGGCTCGCGCGCCAAGACCGAGCTCCTCACCCGCCGCTACAACAGCCTGGTCGAGTGGAACCGCTTCCGCGAGGCGGCCATCGCCCGCAGCGAGGAGGACCACGACCGCCGTGTTGCCCTGCTCGGCTTCGACCCGAGCCAGGTCCAGGAGGCCCCGGTCACCGTCCAGATGGAGTTCATCATCGAGGAGCGCACCACCGTTCTGCCGAAGAACTAAGAGGACTCCGTTTGCGTGCGCATATACTACATATCCATATATGTGTGTGTGTGTGTGCGCGCGCGCGTGCGAGAGGGCGCGATTTCACGGTGCGCCGCCGGTGGCAGAGAGGCGGCCCCAGTACGGTGGGGTTTCCCCTTCCTTGTCTCTTTCCCGCCGTGTTCCGAGGCAATTCCTTCGGCCTGACGCGAGAGGGCGCGAGAAGAGTGGTCCAGGGTCGCCGGGCGCGCGCTTTCCTCCCGGCCTGTGCTGTGTCTCCCTCTTTGTGCCTCCATGTCCTTCTGTCTCTCCTCGCCCTCCCCTGCCCCACCTCCAAGGCGCCGTGTTTTCTTTGCCAAAAAAAATACACCCACAAACGCAAAGCACCCCTTCTCTTCCCTTTCTTTTGTGTTTTTCCGCGCTGGCGTTCCCCCCCCCCCCCCCCTGCATCCTTGGCCCTGCCTTTCCCCCGCACCCGGGCCTGTGTAACCTCCCCTCTGCCCGGGGAGGGGGTGCGGCGCTCGTGAGCATGTGGGAGTCAAGGTAGTGTATTGTATGTTGCATTCGTATGTGTATGTGTGAGAGGGAGAGGGAGAGAGAAAGGGAGGGTGAGAGGTGGGAGTGTGGGGGGAACGGGCTGGCAGAAGCGAGCCCGGCCGGGCCGGACACGCCGACACACGTGCGTGCACACATGCAAAGGACAAAAAAGAAGGAGAAAGGGCACGCGCGGGCGCGGAAAGGCCGGGCCCCGTTGCAGGGGCGGCGACGGCGCCGTGAGGCCTCCTCTCAGCGCTTCCGGGGGGATCGCTTGGCGCGGGGGCCGCCGGGATGCCTCTTGCCGCGGCCGGCACCCCCCCGGGGGGAGCTGCTGCCACTGTTACTACCGCTGCCACTCCCAGGCGAGGCGAGGGGGGAGCCAGAATTTGAAGGGGGGCTCGCGGGCGTGGGCGCTGGAGCGGCCACCTGCTGCTGCTGCTGCTGCTGCATGAGCTGGCTGATGGGCTGGCTCAGGACCACGGTGGAGGTGCAGCCCGGGCCGCCGGCCTCCGGAGACAGGTCATCGCCACTGTCGCCGTCACTCGGACTGGCGGCGTCGCTGCTGTTGTCATTGTCAGCCACAGGGGGGGCCCCGGCGGCGCCCAGGCCCAGCGGGCTGCGCCGGGCCGGAGGCGACTCCAGGTCGATGCGGAGCTGGCTAATGGGCTTGGTCAGGACCACGGTGGAGGCGAAGCCCGGGGCGCCGGCGCCGCTGGGCAGACCATCCTCGCTGTCACTGCCACTGGGAGTGGGGAGGTTGTCACTGCCGCTGTCGGCGCCGGGCGAAGTTCCGGCGGGGCCCAGGCTAAGCGGGCTGCGCCGGGTCGTCGGCGTCCGCGACTCGGCGCGCAGCAATTGCGACAGGGGCTTGGTCAGGACCACGGTCGAGTCAAAGCCAGCCGGCCGGCCGGCCGCACCCGTATCCATCGACGCGGCGCCCTCATCATCGCTGGAGCTGAAGGGATTGTCCTCGGCGTCATCTTCCTCATCGGCGGTCGAGCCGTCCGACGGCAGGGGCCGGGGCCGGGGCCCGGGCCCGCCACCCGGCGGCCGGATCGGCGAGTGCGTCATCACCACGGTCGACATCCGGGCCACCAGGAAATCATCGTCACTCTGATCGCTGGCATCCGAGTCGGTGTGCACCAATGACGAGGCATCCGTGATGGAGGGCATCACCGGGGCGGCGGCCAGGCGCCCGGCAGGGGATGAGGGCCCTCCTCCAGAGGGCGCCAGGCCAGGGAAGCGTGGCCGGTTGAAGTTGACCGTCGAGCCGAAGATGGCCGCCGTATTCCGGGTTTGCTGGCCGTCACTCTCGAAGCTGTTGGAGTTGCTGCTGCTCCTGCTGCTGCTGCTGCTGTTGGTGTGATTGTTGCTGCCGCTGGCAAGGGGGGCACCCATGAAGGCGGGACTGCTGGCGCCGGCGCCGGCAGCGACGCCACCACTTCCAGCGAGCATGTCCTTCAGCGGTGGGCGGTTGAAAACGATGGTGGCGCCGAAGTTGGCACGCCCGGCTGGCCCGCTGGCGGTTCCGCCCTCATCGTCGCCGCTGTCGGAGAAGGCATCCCCATCGGAGGACCCGAAGGACGATGAGTGGCCGGCGTCTCGATCGAAGGCCGAGTTGCCGACATCATGCGGGTCTTCCTCCCCGCCCTCGGGCCCGAGCCCGGGATGGGTGTCATCCTCGCTATCCTCGCCCGGCTGCGGGGGGTTCAAAATGTCCAAGGCCATGCGCTTAACCAGCACCGACTTGTCATGCTGCGCCAGATGCTGAATGATGCTGAGCATCTCCGCATCGCGCTGGATGAAGCCATGCACCCCGGCCGTGGGGGCCAGCTCGCCGCGGGCCACCAACGGCAAGGTGGCCGATGCCAGCGAGGTCAAGATCTTCATGACCGACACGCGGACCTGGGCCTTGGGGACGAATGTCCGGCCCGGCTGGAAGGCCTTGCGCGCCAGGCCCCGCAGGAAGGCCGGCGAGAGGGCCAATGACCGGCGGACACCGGCCGCCAACATGACCACACGCTCGAAGCGGTCCAACAACCGCTCCAGCAGGGAATTCGCCGTGACCCGGGTACACATGATGGCCACCAGGCAGGCAATGTGCTCTTCCTCCGAGAGGACCAGCTCCACGCGCTCGGTGTCCTCGGACAGCCAATCGGAAATGGCCTCCAGGGCGGCCATCTGCGTGTAGTCCAGATCCCGGTGGACCTGGGCCACGGCAGTTTGGCCGCGAGCCGCGCCCACCGCCGCCCCGGCGCTGGTGCTGCCGGCCGCCAGCTCCAGCAGCACCGCCAGGGCATCCTCCTTCCAGAGCATGTCCCGAGTGGCGGCCCCGGCCAGCGGCAAGACCACCAACACCGCCAGGGCCAAGTTCCGGATGGCCGACGCCCGGGCCAGTCGGGCCTGCAGACAACTCGTCAGGTGGGGAATGATGCCGGCCTCCGCGGCGGCAGCCTGCCGTGCGCGCGACAGACGGCACAGTCCAAAGAGGGCGGCCATGGCCTGGTGGCGAATCTCCGACACGTAATTCGAGGGGCCCCGCTGGGAAACCACGGCCTCATACTCGGTGGGGTAGAGGTCCAGCACCCGGACCAGGGTGGCAATGGCCCCGGCGCGTTCGAGGGCATCCTGGACATTGATGTCGGCCAGGGTGCGGACCATCTTCACGCACTTGAGCAGCGCCGCACAGACGGCTGCATAGTGGGCATTGGTGCCGGTGGCGGCGGCCGCCCCGGTGCCATGGCCATCGGTCGCCAGAGGACCGAGCCCGGCATTCCCCGGCGATCCGGGCTCCTGTGCCTGAATATAATCGCAATGAGCATTCAGCTCCCCAAGCAGCACCAGCAGGACCGGCGCATTGCCGGCGCGCTTGGCCTGCTCCAGCAGCTGGCGCAGCCCGGCCGAGTCCAGGGTGGTCAGGGCCGCGGTGTTGCTCTGGAAGGCCGAGGCCGAGGAAACCGTCGAGGCGATCATGGCATCGCGCAGCTGAATCAGCGTCGTCAGCAGGTCCAGCACCAGCTCATAGTACTGGGGCAGGCGAGTGGCCACGGCGGCCAGAAGGTCGGCATCCGGCTGCTCATCGTCCAGCGTCACCCCGGCATCCAGGAGCAACTGCCGCTCGCTGGCCGCCGCATTTTCCTGGCGCATGGCCGGCAGCAGGGCCACCAGCGACTGGATGAGCCCCTGGCTGCCGAACACTCGGCTGAGCTGGTTCTTGTTGATGGACATGGTGCCATCCTGCGGCCGGGGAGCCGACACACCATGGCTACCGGTGTGGTCCATCATGTACTTGATGCAGTCCAGCACCAGGAGGACGCGCTCGCGCGCCAGCAGCGCGCTCGGAGCCCCATACTTGGGCCAGTCGAGCATCTGCACAAGAGCCGCGGTACCGCGGCAAGAGATGAACTACGCCACCGTGTGTGAGCCGACAGGGCGGGGGGAGGGGGGGG